CATTGATTAAACCATATGTCAAATTTTTAGAACCATCTGTAGCAGCTGAAATAATAATTGAGTTTAATGATTCAATTTTGAGCTTTAAAGACTCTCTCTTAGCAGAATCGTCAATAGCTTCTTCTAATTCAGCTTGAACTAATTTGATTTTATCACGAAGTGTTTTATTGATGGTTTCGACCAGCAATTCTCTAGTAATTTGTTCATTTGGATCATAACCTTTGGATTCAATTTCATAAACAATCGAGTAATAATCACCACCTTCAGCACTTGTTGAGGCTAATCCTTGGAAATGTGAGATAGTATCCTCAGGAACTTCATGGGCCCTAAATTTGTCTACTTCATTGGCATATCTAGCAGCTCTAATACCAGTATTTCTGTTAAAGTAGTTGTCCTTCATAATAGTGATCTGGTCACGTGACTCATTTTTTTCCGAAAAATTTTTGGCACCACCATTTGCAGCAGAACTATGATGATTACCTAAGCCTAATTCAATGGAAATGGTAATTTAGTGATCAATCAACATCAACCAGTGCTCGTGTAGCTCAGTGGTTAGAGCTTCGTGCTTATAGCGGCATAAATCAATGACGTTGTGCAAAATGTCACAGTTGTGTGAGTAACGCGACCGTCGTGGGTTCGAACCCCACCTCGAGCATATTTTTTTGTTTCCTGTTTTTTGGTGCCAACTGAAGAGTTTTGGTATTTTTTTTGCATTATTATAATTTTAAAGCTTATAAAGTTTCAACTAAAGTAATTTTTTAGTGCTAATTCCTACCTTTCTGACTCTAAAATGGAAATTATTGTTGAAAATTGGCTACAGAAGGCCTAATATCCGACTTTTTATGAGTCGGATTTGAAAAAAAATTCAAAAAATTCAAATATAGACATGAATCAGAGCTTGTAAAGGTTTGAAGTTTCAAATAGATTCAATCCATACTCTTCCTTGATTCATATATCATTCAAGATGCCTCCAAAGAACAAGAAACAAAAAGAAATTGTTAAGGATGAAAGACTTCAGGCAATTGTTTTAACAGATTCTTTCGAAACAAGATTCATGCCTTTAACATCAGTTAAACCAAGATGTTTATTACCATTAGCAAATGTTCCATTGATTGAATATACTTTGGAATTTTTAGCAAAAGCTGGTGTTGATGAAGTCTATTTAATGTGTTGCTCCCATGCTGATCAAATTCAAGAATATATCGAAAATTCAAAATGGAATTTACCTTGGGCACCATTTAAAATTCAAACCATAATGACATTAGAATCAAGATCTGTTGGTGATGCCATGAGAGATTTAGATAATAGAGGTTTAATTACTGGTGATTTTTTATTAGTCTCAGGTGATGTTGTCACTAATATTCAATTTGATAAAGTTATGGAAGTTCATAAGGCTAGAAAAGCTTTAGATAGGGATCATATTGCTACAATGGTCTTAACTCAAGCAAGTGCATTACATAGAACTAGGTCTCATGCCGAACCTGCCTCTTTTATATTGGATAAAAACACAAACAGATGTGTATATTATCAAGATATACCGCCTGCAGATGGTAAAAAATCTGCCATTCAAATCGATCCTGAATTATTAGAAGATGTTGATGAATTTGTTATTAGAAATGATTTGATTGATTGTCATGTTGATATTTGTTCACCTCATGTTCCTGCAATTTTCCAAGAAAATTTTGATTATCAATATTTAAGAAAAGATTTTGTTAAAGGTATATTATCTTCAGATATTTTGAAGAAAACAATCTATGCATATATTACTGATGATTATGCTGCAAGAGTGGAAAGTTGGCAAACTTATGATGCAATTTCACAAGATATATTGGCTAGATGGTGTTATCCAATCTGTCCGGATTCTAATTTTTTGGAGAATCAATCATATTCTTATGAAGGTAAACATGTTTATAAAGAGAATGATGTTGTGTTGGCACAATCTTGTAAGATTGGATCATGTACTGCTATTGGTTCAAACACCATTATCGGTGATGGTACTTTGATTGAGAATTCAGTTATTGGTAGAAACTGTAAGATTGGTAATAACATTCATATTAAAAACAGTTATATTTGGGATAACTCTACAATTGAAGATAACTCTACAATTGATTTTTCCATCGTGGCTAGTGGTTCCAAGATTGGTCAAAATACTAAATTAGATAAAGGTTCAGTTATTGGGTTTGATGTTATGATTTCAGAAAACCAAACAGTTGATAAAGATGTTAGAATTTCGTCTAAACCAGTCAAGCATGCCAATAGAAGTTTTGTCAATTCATCTGAAGATGAGGATGAAGATGAAGACTCTGGAGAATCAGAAGTTGACAACAGTTTTGATACATCGGTTGTTGGGAACGCTGGTGTTGGTTATGTTTACGAATCTGATAGTTCAGATTATGAGGATGATTCAGCTAAACCGGTTAGTTCATTGATGTACAGCATGGGAGAATTAACATTATCAGATGATTCCATTGCATCAATTAACCAAATTGCAGTTAAACAGAAAAAGAAGAGAACTTATTCAACAACTAGTGTTGCAACTGATTTTGAAGAGGAAAATTTCGAAAAAGAAGCTATTGCCACTGTGGAGCGTGCTATGGATAACAATCATGATTTAGATACTGCTTTATTAGAATTGAACACATTAAGAATGAGTCTGAATGTTACTTATCATGAAGTTAGATTTTCCACTTCAAGTGCATTGATTGATAGAGTTTGTCATTTTGTTGAAACAAAGACATTACACACTAAAGAGGCTACTGATAAAATTTTCAAGCAATGGGGTCCATTATTTAAAAGACAAGTTTTTGACCAAGAAGAAGAGATTGATTTATTAAAGATATTACAAGAATTAACATCATTGAAACCTCAAGGGAAACAGATTTTGTTATACATAATAAGTATTTTGTATGATTTAGAAATTGTTGATGAAGAATCAATTTTGAAATGGTGGAAAGATGATGAAATTGATAATGAGTATTGTGCTAAGTTTATTGATTGGTTAGAAGAAGCTGAAGAAGATTCATCTGATGAGGAGTGAATACCGTACCTGATCTACATGTATAGAAGGAAATAATAATAAGAAAAGTTCGATAACGGTTAAATAATAATAATAATCTGGAATGAACACACAGAAACGAATTGTAGCAATTCTTTGGATCAGGTAATCTTGTATACAATCTAAAATTTTAACTTTAGTTCACGCTGCTTAGCCGATACAATTTTGATGATGAAAGTTAGTCTGCGTCTGCATAGATAAAAATTTTTGCAAACGGAGTAGTGAGACTTGATTATATGATAAAATGTACTGACGATTGTTCTTGACGTACGTTATTAGTTAACTAAAAAGTAAACGCTAATGTAAACTAATGAAGCTAAACGCGTCACGTTGATGTTGACATATTTCATGGATCTTGATTTTTTCGAATACTAGCACTACGCATATAATGGATCATTACAGATTCTCAACCAACGCAATACCAGTCTTTTTAGACTGCGTGTACACAAACGCTTGAGTCCAAGGTCTTCAAATGTCATTTGTATCGAAGAACACAATCAATCAAGTAGAGTAACAAGTTTCAATTTTGAAGACGACAAATGGGTAGTACCCGAAAGCATTGAAAGCTTCTACGGTTTAGTTAAGTTAGATGGAGCTTAAGGCTAACCATGGGGCATTTCAGGTTAACTTAGGTGAAACGTGAGTTTTTGTTAGCTGTAGAAGTTTGTCAAGTGACCATCAGCTTTACATGGTCTTTGAGTTCTGGAGTCTTGATGATTACTACTTGCAACTAGTAATTGTGATGGAAAGTACAGGCAAAATAAAGAAACGTTCTTGTCCTACTTTTAAAACACTTTTGATATTGAAATAGTTGGATCAAGTACATACTAATAGTGTACTCATGAGTTAAAGCTTTGTTCATTGAATTAAGAGTTCCAGCATTAAATAATTGATTCATGTACAAGCCGATTATGCAGTGTCAATGTGTTTACGAAGCTCAACTATTATTTTTTTCGTTCCAGGTGCTAGTATAACTTCTGCCTAGAGGATTGTGCTTTGGAAGGAGCCTCTACCTAGGTCGTAGGTAGTAGGTGGTAGGTTACGCTAAACTTTGGAAGGAGCCCTTCAGCGGACAGGACCGTCCTTACTGACTCAAGCTTGACGATTGAGTCACCGGAGAAACTTTTGACGTATTTGGGGGATATGCCGGTCTCTGCCCAATCAACTGACAGCGGTGACCTTATGAAGAACAGAGAAGTCTGAAAAAACCAACGGCTAGTGCTATGGGAAGAACAATTTTTAGGGGTCGTTAATGTCAGGGAATACAGAAGGTGATTAGTATCGTGTAGTATTACTATGTTATGGTGATTGTACATTAACGCATAATCTGAGACTGCATCTTTGGCTTACGGAGCTGGTTATTTTTTCAACGTCCTTGACCTGAACGGCTGTTTGTGGACTCTATTGGTCAAAAGTTTAGGCATCGAACCCATCAGCGTATTGGCCAGTTCTAGAGAAGAATTCTTGCTAAAAAAAGTCCCAGCCTAGGTCGACTTTGTGGGTGGATGAGATTCAATTCAAGCCAAAAGAAGTTTAAAGAGCCACCTGTAAATTGTAATTCTACTCCAATCTCAATCTTTTCCCTTGCAAATCGCTGTTGCAATTGTTGTGCAAGGGATTGACAATGCCCATTGGCGTAGGTCTCGGGTAAATTCAACCCATTTGTTCAGGACAGCAACAAAAGGAACTTCAACGCTTACGCTGCCTGGGGGCTAGGCTTATGGAGCTAGAACCCGAACCTAATTAGATCCAGATTTTCCCATTCAGGAACGATAATTCAATTCCATCTCTTTACAATTGTAAACCATCTGCAATTTTTTTTGACTAGTTTACAATTCAACAATATTCCAATAGATTCCATATTCCATATTCCACCTTATCCTTCTTCATCCATATACCACAGTCCTACCATTTGTTTTGCTATTAGACGCTCCTTTCCAACATAGTATAGATCCAAACAAATCGTCTTCTACATTCAACATCAAAGGCATTTGCCATCATTATCACCATCTTCATCAAAGGATTGGAGAACCAAACAGATTATATTCCAGCTAGCGCTCTGCTATCGTGATGATTGAAGATACCGCCACTACTTTAGAGAGATTACATGAACCTGGAAGCCCCAAGTTGGCAATATCAAATAATTCAGGTGAACGTTCAGAGCTAGTCTTCAATGATGATTTATTATCACCAGTCACACATTTCTCAACAGAATCAAGTACAGCTTCAGATGGTACCCCTTCAGATTCAAACTTCTATGATTATCTTTTATCATCAAATAAAAAGAAAAATTCAAATATAACTAAAGACATATATGAAGTTTTCAATTTCAGTAACCAAAACAGTGTTTTAGCTGATTCTTCCCGTGAAGTCATACCTGATTATATTCTTTTATCAAATATTTCAAGTGATCTATATAGAGGGTTCAATAAAAAGACAAAGAGAAGCGTCATTGTGAAATATACTTCATATGTTTCTGCTGGTTCAATATCAAGATTTTTCAATGAATGGTATACATTATCAGGCCTAAACAATGATAGCCCAGAATCTCCATCAAGAAACACTGAGCCAAGAACACTACCAACAAATATTGATGGTGTTTTATATCCAATTGATTTCATAACTTTGGAAGATAATCATGGTTATGTTATGGTTTATGAAGATATTTTGAATTTGAAGTCATTAAAAGAAGTGTTTGTTATAAATGGGGAAGATGATAGATCTAAAATATTGAAAGCAACGATTCAATGTCTTGAAATTTTGAAAAAAATTCATAATCATCAATTCACTCATAACGGTTTAACAGCTTCAAATATCTTGATCAATGATATGAATGAAATATATATAACTGGTTGGGATTTTTGCTTTGCATACAACACAGAAGATTGTACAAGAGGTTACAGAACCTTAAACAAGAGATATTTAATAGATTGGCTACCTTATATGGCCCCTGAAGTGAGTGGTGAAATTAATAGATTGGCAGATTATAGAGCAGATTTCTACAGCATAGGTATCATACTATATCAATTATTGGTTGGTTTTTTACCATTTATTGCATCTGATGGGAGGGAATTGATTAATAAACATATCAGAGAATTTCCTGAACCTCCTCAATCGGCTGGTGTGGATCAATTTCTAAGTGATGTTATCATGAAGTTATTATCTAAAAGCGCATCTGAACGTTATCAAAGTTGTGATTATTTGATTGATGATTTACAATTTGCCTTATCTGGAATCCCATTCAAATCTGAAGATATGAAGAATAGAGAATTGAAATTCACATTACCAAGAGGTCTTTATGGAAGAGAATCTAGCTTAAATGAAATGAAGAATTTGTATAACAATATGGAAACTGGTGTTCATTTATTATTATTGACTGGTGACACAGGTACCGGTAAAACCAAATTAGTCAATGAAGTTCAAACTTTTGTTGCTTCTAATAATCATTATTTTGTTGGTTGGAAATGCAGTCCAAGAATTAATGGATTTGGTTGTTATATATCAATCCTAAACAGTTTGATTCATCAAATTCTATCAAGTAACGATGCTGAAATTGTTCATTGCAGAGAATGTATATTTGATCTCATTTCTTCAGATTTATCACCATTATTTGATTTTTTACCAGAATTGAAAGATTTATTGGGGCAAAATTATTCAAAACACATTATGAACATTAATGCAGGTACCCCAGATATGTTGCCAACAAAGCCAGAATTGAAATTCAAATACTTGTTAAAATCTTTATTTGCTGCATTGGGGAAGAATTTCCCAGTAACATTATTTTTTGATGATTTCCAATGGTTTTCAGTTTCAGATTTAGATTTATGGAGAGAAGTTAATGCATTGATTGCAAAAGACGGATTAGATTCAAGAATTGTATTATTAGCAACTTTTGATACTTCATTAGGTGGCAATTTACAAAAATTTAAAAGAAATATTGATTTTGAATTTCGTGAATTTCAAATGCCAAATCTATCATTAGAACCTTTTGTGGAATATACCAGAGAATTTATGATCCCAGGTCATTTGAATCTACAAGAAAATATTGAACGAAATGAAAAAAGTATAGATATTCAAGTTCAATCTGTTTCAAAATTCTTGTTTGAAAAATCTAAAGGTAATGCATTAACTTCACTTTTGATAATTCAACATTTACACTTGAACAATTTAATCAAATATGATTCAACATCAAATATTATACCCACTTGGAATGTTGACTTTGACAAAATTCAGAATATACCATCAACAAATGATGATCTTTATCAAGCAAGATTGGATCAATTTTTCAATGAGGAAGATATTGAAGTTTTCAAATACATTGCCTGTATTTTCAACAAGACAAGCTTTTCATTATATGATTTATCAATTGTTTCTAAAAATTCTCATCAAACAGTGGCCAAAGTTTTATCAAAAGCTATTGAATACAATTTGATCTATCCAATCAATATTTTTTACAAATTCCCCTTCCATCTTGAAAAAGAAGTTTTACCTTTTGAAATTGATGATATGGATATGAAAGATATGTCAAAACTTGCATTATTTGCACCAATTCATGATTCTTTCCATATGTTTTTACAAGAGAAAGTTATGCAAAATGATCAAGTTTCTTTATATCACAAGTTATGCGGGCTTCGTCTTTATGAATCAAAAGATGAAGATTTTATTGAAACAGATATGAATAGTTGTTTGGAAATTGCAGACCTTTTCTGTAAGTCTTATGGTTCAGTTGATGATAAAGATGAGGTTAGTATTTATTTGAAGGTGTTGAAAGCTACACAAAAATTTTGTTACAAGTTATTTGATTTCATTCCAGCTTTGAAGTTTTTAAATGTTTCCAAGAATTTATTGGAGGGTACAGCTGATAAGAAAGCTCTGTATACACTACATGTTGAAATTGTTAAATGTTCAGTGATGGTGAAGAACTATGAAGGCTGTCTAGATTTCATCAAAAGACACTCACCAAGTTTCCAAAGAGACCCAATAGTTGTTTTATATACTATTCGTTGCTTACAGATGTTAGATAGAATTGATGAATCTGTTAAAGTGGGTATTGATTGTCTAAAAAAGCAAGGAATCAATATTGAACAAAAAGATGAATGGAATGCTAAAAATGTTGAGATTTTGAGAAGTTCATTTCCAACTTCAATTGCTGCAATCAGAACACTCGGTGAAATCAAGAAAAGTGCTTCTAGAAAAGTTTCATTAATTCAAGAAATTATGGCAGAAGTGATGCTTTCTGTTATGCCATCTGGTAAAATTGATTTGATTACTTCTTTGGCTTATACTATGGTTGCATATGCCATTGAAAATGGGCTATCAGGATTTTTAGCTCTTGGGTTTTTAGCTATTGGATTAGCCGAGATTAAAACCTCAAGTGCTCGTGCTCAAGAATATGCAGATTTGGGAATTTCTTTATTGAAACGGAAACCTGAATCTTTTGATTTTGCTAATCATGTTTATTACATTTACTGTTTTACAATCGGATCATTTATGGAACCTATTGATACTTTATTGAAATTTCATGATATGACTATTCTTTCATATAGACATTATTCAAGCAGATTTTCTACAGGATTTGTTATGAGTGTTGCTGTTAAACCTATATTAAAGTTGTTTGCTGGTGAGAATGCCCAAACTGTTTACAATAATTTGATGAGATCAGTTAATAAATCAGAAATGGAGGATCGAACAAATCTTTATTTTTTCAAACATACAGTCAGATTCTTCAGAGTGTTGCTAAATTTACCATATGATGATAGATATGACTTAACACAGGATCCTGAGTTCAAAATTGAGAATGAATCATTACATTTCAAATGTTTCTTCTATGCATTAAAATTATTTATTGAATCATTGACTGAAGATAACACAGATTACAAAAGGACTGCTGATAAGAAACTAGATCAATTTGAAAAAGATTATCCAGTAACCATTTTTTCAATTTTGACAATGTCAACAAGGGCTTATTTAACGATTGATGATACAAATTCTTCCACTGAAACAAAGAAAAAGGTTATCGATGATTACTTGACTTTTATGAGATTTTGCAAATATAACTCTCCAAAATTATTTGAATCAAAGGCAATTTTGTTTGAAGCAGAGCTACTAAAATTGGAGGGGGCATCCGAGTTGGAAATACTGGATTGTTATGCTGCTGCTATTGAAAAAGCTGAGTTTTATGGGTTACCTTACGATATTGGAAATGCTCATGAAAGATGTGGTACGTGGCTTTATGGTATTTCACGAAATAAAAAGAGAGCTAGAAAACATTTCAAAGACGCTGCTAAGAATTTCCACATATCAGGACATATTAGAAAAGTTAATCTTTTGAAAAAACGTTATCCTGAAGTGTTTGACAAGATTGATTTTGAAGATCTTGATCGGAAACAAAGAAAACCAAGTGAAGGAAACATTTCATCTTTAAATATCTTGCTATCCACAGTTCTTCAAAAAGATAAGGGTCAAATTGACGAGTTCCTTGACTCTGATATTGAAAATTCCAATATTATAACGGTCATCAAAGCAAGTTTGGCAATTTCAGAAAGTATAAATTTTGATTCGATTATTGAAAATTTGGTCAACATACTATTCAAGTTTCAGGTGCTGAATATGCAATCTTATCATTATTGAATGAAAATGGCGTTATCGAGTATAGGGCTGTTGGTGGTACTCAATATGTCAATATTTTACAATCTCAGGACTCCAATCTTTTGTTCCCGGAAACCATGATTCGTGAAGTTGTTGAACACGGAAGACCAATAAGTAATTTTGAAGATTATTTCAATTTTGAACAAGTTTATCGATCAGATCAATATTTCTATAAACACCAACCAAAGTCTATGATTTGTGTCCCAATCAAGAATGAGTTAGAAACTTTAGGTGCGTTATACTTAGAATCTCAAAAGAGTACACTTGTTTTCCATGAAAAGAAGCTAAATTTAATTGGGCTGTTGTGTACACAAGCTGCTTTTGCATTAGATAAGGCACGTCTTTATAAAAGAACCATGTTGGCTAAAAAAGCTGCTGAAGATGCTACTGCTGAAAAGGCTACTTTCCTTGCAAACATGTCACATGAGATTAGAACTCCTTTCAATTCATTATTTGCTTGTGCTGGGTTTTTGTTAGACACAAAGCTAGATGCAATTCAACATGAATACGTTGAAACAATTCAATCATCAGCCAAAGTGACGTTAAATATCATTGATGCTATCTTAACTTTTTCCAAGATTGAACATGGGTCATTATATTTGGAGAATACCAATTTCTCATTAAATGAATGTATTGAGAGTGCTATGCATCTAGTTGCAGAACAAGCTGTTACAAAAGATTTAGAATTGGCTTATTTCAATGAAACTGAAGGTGCTGATTCAGTTAAAGGTGATCTTACAAGATTTAGACAAATTATTATCAATCTTTTAGGTAATTCTGTCAAATTCACTCAAAATGGGTCTATTATTGTTAGAAGTTCAGCAAGAAGAATATCTTCTGATAATATTTTTGAATTTGTTATTAGTATCAAAGATACTGGTATTGGTATACCTCACAATTCTTATAATAAAGTGTTTGGAGCTTTCAGTCAAGTTGATGGTTCATCAAGAAGGGTTTATGGAGGATCTGGACTTGGTCTTGCTATTTCAAAGAAATTGGTTGAATTGATGGGTGGTAATTTGACCTTTGAAAGTGAGGAAGGTGAAGGTACAACTTTTTATTTAACAATTACTTCAAGAGTTGAAACATGTGCTAATTCAGATAAACTAGATGACTTGAAAGGACAAGCTGTTATAATCGATGATAGCGAGTTTGGTGTTAAATCTTTGGAAATCGAACTTAAACGTCTATCAAATTTGAATGTTATTTTAAAAAAGGAACTTGATCCAGAGTTGATTAAAGAATGTGACATTTTATTCATCAATATAAAGTTTTGTGAACAGGTTGAAGATCAATCTATTTTCACCTCAGGAAAAAAGAAAAGTACAGTTTTATTGAGTCCTTATGGTACATTGATTCCTGAAGAATTACGCAAACATGAATTTCCAGTATTGTTGTTACCATTTCAAAGAGTTAAACTAAATTCCATTTTGCAAGATTTAGCTACTTTTAAGGAGCCTCATTCACCACTTAGACCTAAAATCATCAAGGTTGAAAGTTCTGCTAAAATTTTATTAAGTCAAGAGGTTCCATTGGATATATTATTGGTTGAAGACAACATGGTTAATACTAAAGTTGCATTACAACATTTGAAAAGACTAGGTTATAAAGCTGATTCAGCAATTCATGGTGTTGAAGCGCTTGCCAAATGTGCAAAGAAGATTAAAGACACAGGCCGTAATTATGATTTGATATTGATGGATATTCAAATGCCTTTAAAAGATGGGATTGAAACTTCAAAAGATTTAGAAGAATTGTATGGAGGTACTGATTTGTTACCAATAATTGTTGCATTGACAGCTAATGTTGAGATGGAAGATAGAGACCGTTGTATCTCATGTGGTATGTCTGATTTTATTTCCAAACCTATTCTTCCTGAAAAGTTAGCCAAAGTTTTGCGCACTGCTGGTCAGTCATGATTTGTTATTAGTAGGAAAGTTTTGAGTGCTAATTCTTTCAGTTCGGTTACAAGATAGGTTGTATCCTAATATTTATTTGTTATAATTTTTAATTAATGGGGGATGTTTAAAGGTTAGAATGTTGATATTGACGTAGTCTACATTTTTTGATGCAAAATGTCAGATCTCAAAAGTGTGCAGTTGCCGAATCCGGTATGTAATCTAAATAAGAACGAGATCTCGAAGAACAGAGGAGTGTAAACCAAAATTGGATCAAAACTGAAAAAGAGAGAAAGACTGCAAAATCACCTATTTCTCCATACAAATCAATCAACTAACCCAGTCTCACTATCAAAATTTCCCAGTCAATGGCTTCTGATTCTCGATTCACTGTTTATCTTTTTTTTTTTGGTTTTTTTTGCCCAAATTTTCTTCTCACGAAAAAAAAAAAAATTGGCCCTTTTCGAAAAATCAAAATTGTTTCATCTTGAGATCAGAAAATACCGTTCAGTAGTCGAGAAAAATCAACATACCTCACTCTTCAAGATTGACCACAACATCAGATAACTAAGAACATCCATTCTTTCATAGCACGAGACATCCCTCTAGCATTGAAATAAAACTCCCAAAGAAGTAAAAGAGAAGATTACAGTGAAGTAAAAGAGGAATTTAAACTGTCACGCCTTTTGTCTCCATTTCAACATTATCAATAAAAAGGAATATTACAAGGAAGCTATCTAATCTAGGCCCTTTTGAAAATTAAAACTTAGACCAAATCAAAGAGAGAAGACTAGAAAATAAAAATGCAAACAATTAAGTGTGTTGTTGTTGGTGATGGTGCTGTTGGTAAAGTGAGTATTATCAATTTTTTCTTTCCAAAGGGGCTGTCACGATACTAACATTACAATTAGACATGTCTTTTAATATCATACACCACAAATAAATTTCCCGCAGATTATGTTCCTACGGTGTTCGATAACTATGCTGTCACCGTGATGATTGGTGATGAACCATATACATTTGGTCTTTTCGATACAGCTGGTCAAGAAGATTATGATCGTTTACGTCCATTAAGTTATCCTTCAACAGATGTATTTTTAGTTTGTTTTTCAATCACTTCACCTGCATCTTTTGAGAATGTTAGAGAAAAATGGTTCCCAGAAATCCATCATCACGCTCCAGGTGTTCCTGCAATTATAGTTGGTACTCAAGTAGATCTTAGAGATGATCAAATTATAATTGAAAGATTAAGAAGACAAGGTGCTGCACCAATCAAACCTGAAGAAGGTGAAAAATTGGCCAAACAATTAGGTGCTGTGAAATATGTTGAATGTTCCGCTTTAACTCAAAGAGGTTTAAAGAATGTATTTGATGAAGCTATTGTCGCTGCACTAGAACCAGAGTCTGTAGCTCCAAAAAGAAAGAAGAAATGTGTCATTTTATAAGGGAGATAAAGTTGGGAGAGGGAAAGATATAGAGAAAGAGCAAATTAGGGGAGAAAGAGTTCACAAATCTATCATAATGTCCATTATTCACAATTCATAGTCAAATTTTATTTTCAATCTACAGGGAGGATCATTTTTTTTTATCCAATTAACACTTATAACCTAACAAACTATTTTTATATAATCATCTGTTGTTTTTCCATTTTTATAACTCTACATTTTGTGTTGTTCAATTATTTGAGTCTTTGACTAGTTGCTTTTCATGTTTAATCTGAATTGATGTTTTTTTTCTGGAGCGAGAGTGAACACGTAGGCAGAAGGTGTTCCGCCTGGCGCTAGGCAGAACTCTTATAAGTCAGCGTAATTCAGAGCACACGCACCATACAAAACTCAATTTCTTTCTTGTGTAAATATCAGAACTAACAATTTCTCACTTTTTTCGCGTTTTTCTTTTCAGACGTGTATTTTGCAAAAATTAAATCGACGAAAAAAGAATTTTGATCAAAATCTTGAAAGCCTACAGAAGAAGAGCTAGTTATTCATTGATTCATATTCTACAAAATGGCTCAAGTCTTTGGTAACGCCCGTTCAGAAACATTGTGTAAGTAATGGTGCTGGCTTTTTGCCATTCTTATTCTTTCCACCAGTCGCAATAAATACTAACATCTACTTCAAGTTCTTGGTGGTGAAAAGATTAGTGGTGAAGATATTCGTAATCAAAATGTTTTAGCAGCTCAAGCCGTTGCCAATGTTGTCAAATCTTCATTGGGTCCAGTCGGTTTAGATAAGATGCTTGTTGATGACATTGGTGATGTTGTTGTTACAAATGACGGTGCCACCATTTTAAGTTTATTAGATGTTCAGCATCCAGCTGGTAAAATTCTTGTTGAATTGGCTCAACAACAAGATAGAGAAGTCGGTGATGGTACCACTTCTGTCGTTATTATTGCTTCAGAATTATTGAAAAGAGCAAATGAATTAGTTAAAAATAAAATTCATCCAACTACAATTATTACAGGTTATAGAGTTGCATTGAGAGAGGCAACAAGATATATTAATGAAGTTTTATCTCAACCTGTTGATAGTTTAGGTAAAGAATGTATTATAAATATTGCTAAAACATCAATGTCTTCTAAAATCATTGGTGCTGATTCAACTTTTTTCTCACAATTAGTTGTTGATGCTATGTTGGCTGTTAAGACTACTAATGGTAAAGGTGAAACAAAATATCCAGTTAAAGCTGTCAATATACTTAAAGCTCATGGTAAATCCTCAACTGAATCTTTATTAGTTAAAGGTTATGCATTAAATTGTACTGTTGCCTCACAAGCTATGACTAAAAAAATCTCAAATGCTAAAATTGCAGTTTTAGATATAAATTTACAAAAAGCAAGAATGGCAATGGGTGTTCAAATAAATATAGATGATCCAGATCAATTGGAAGAGATCCGTAAAAGAGAATATGGTATTGTTTTAGAAAGAATCAGAAAGATAATAAATGCAGGTGCTAATGTTGTTTTGACTACTAAAGGTATTGATGATTTATGTTTAAAAGAATTTGTTGAAGCTAAAGTCATGGCTGTTAGACGTTGTAAAAAAGAAGATTTAAGAAGAATTGCAAGAGCTACAGGTGCTACATTTGTTAGTAGTTTATCCAATTTAGAAGGTGAAGAAACTTTTGAAACTAGTTATTTAGGTTATGCTGAAGAAGTTGTTCAAGAAAGAATTTCTGATGATGAGTGTATTTTGGTTAAAGGTACAAAAGCACATTCATCTTCATCCATTATATTGAGAGGTCCAAATGATTATACTTTAGATGAAATGGAAAGATCATTACATGATTCATTATCAGTTGTTAAAAGAACTTTAGAAAGTGGGAATATTGTTCCAGGTGGTGGTGCAGTGGAAACCGCTTTAAATATATATTTGGAGAACTTTGCAACAACAGTTGGTTCTCGTGAACAATTGGCCATTGCAGAATTTGCAAATGCCTTATTAGTTATTCCAAAGACCTTAGCTGCTAATGCCGCAAAAGATTCATCAGAATTGATTGCCAAATTAAGATCATACCATAGTGCAAGTCAATCCGCCTTACCAACAGATACCAAAAGAAGACACTATAGAAACTATGGGTTGGACTTGATCAAAGGTAAAATTGTGGATGAATCTGTCAATGGGGTTTTAGAACCAACCATCAGTAAGATCAAGTCTTTGAAATCAGCATTAGAGGCTTGTATTGCCATTTTGAGAATTGACACCATGATCACTGTTGACCCAGAACCTCCTAAAGAGGACCCACACGGCCACGACCACTGAGGTGGCTCCCCTTTACCCCCTCTTGATAATCAAATAAATATACGTTAATTATCGTCCTATTATTTATTGACCATCAACTTATTGTACTGAAAACACGCTTCTCCTATCGTCACATGGTGGTGTGCCCCGTTGCGAAAAGTCGCTTTATAAACGCCAAAATTTTTCAATTCCAAAAAAAAAAATTGTCGTTTAGTTGGCAAAGAGAGGTTAAACGAGCCTCTGTGTTGTTTAGAAATCAAGTAACGGTTATTCGAACAATCAACGGTTTTCTTCCACAGCTTGCCATCCATTCTTTCAGTGATATTCAACTATACGAGCGAAGGTCGATTCAACTTGACTATTCAAATATTCTGAGCTGAGAGAGAGAGAGGGTGTTGTCCATTGAGTCAATTGAGTGCTGATTACATAGAGATGTCCTCCACTTCGTCAAACGATAACTTGCAAGAGTACTCACCGCCATTCGATGGCGACTACAGCTCTATAATATCCAAACACGACGAGGCAACCGCCCAAGATATTAAGGAGAAGAGACTTCATAAACCAGATCTGATTGTTATTGATGGTAAAGAGGTTAGCCGAACTTCTACAGGGAAGAGGAAGTTCCACAACAAGTCCAAGAACGGATGTGATACTTGTAAGAAAAGAAGGGTCAAATGTGATGAAACTAAACCGATATGTGTCAAGTGTCAGAATATGGGTATTGATTGTCATTATAGTGATCCTGTACAAAAAAAGGTTAAACTATCAAGAGCTCCTTCAAAATCTCCTAAAATATCTGTCAAGCAAGAAGAACTTGTGATTCCAAACAGTCTAAAGGATCAATTGCGCAATCCAAGTATCAAAGACAAGGAGAATTTCAGTCTTGAGAACTTTCGTCAATCAACTCAACAACAACAACAGCAGCATTTGCATAGAATACTTCAGCAACATCCAGAAATCACCTTCCCAACATTTACAGTTAAATCACCATCAATGGATCAAGCTGCCTTATCCAGATCAGCTATGCTTACAGATCATACACCAACAATGTCAAGAAATTCAATAGACTCAAGAAATAATTTGACAATAAATTTGAATTCAATATCAAATAATCCAACAATATCTCCACAACCAAGCATGTCACCAGGATCTGCCACTTCACCATTATCAACACATCAACAACTGAATGGTATGAATGGAATAAATTCAATACAAAGTCAAATCCCAGCTTCATTGGGTAATTTCACAACACCAACTACATTAAACATGCTGGATTTGAGATTAATGTATCATTATACAAAAGTGGTTGCACCATCAATTACAAAAGCTGGTATTTCCGAGGAAAAAATTTGGAGTGAAGATATTCCAGGTTTAGCCTTCAATTATCCATTTTTAATGCATTCAATATTGGCATTTTCCGCTACTCATCTTTCAAGAACTGTTAAAGGTTTAGAAAACTGTGTCACAACTCATCGCGGTGAAGCTTTGAGATTATTAAGAGAAGCCGTACTGGAGATTTCATCAGATAATACAGATGCTCTAGTTGCTTCTGCTTTAATATTAATTATGGATTCATTGGCTAATGCCTCATTACCAACTTCTTTATCACCAACGTCATTGCCAGCTTCTGCTTGGATCTTCCATGTCAAAGGTGCTGCTACGATATTAACAGCTGTTTGGCCATTGCCTGTTACTTCAAGATTTTACAAGTTCATTTCAGTGGATTTGAGTGATTTGGGTGATATTATAAATGAAAAAAATGGATCAATTTCAGAACTTGTTTGCTTTGATGATTCAATTGCAGATTTATACCCTGTTGAATATGATTCTCCATATTTAATCACATTAGCATATTTGGATAAATTACATAAAGAAAAGTATAAATCTGATTTCATCTTGAGAATATTTGCATTCCCAGCATTATTAGACAAGACTTTTTTAGCTTTATTAATGTCTGGTGATTTATCAGCAATGAGAATCATGAGAAGTTATTATTCACTATTGAGAGGATTCACTACTGAAATGAAGGATAAAGTTTGGTTTTTAGAAGGTGTTTCCAAAGTATTACCAGCAGATGTTGATGATTATAGTGGTGGTGGTGGTATGCATATGATGTTGGATTTCCTTGGAGGTGGATTACCTTCAATGACTACAACAAATTTGGCTCCAGGTCTGAATATTGACATTAATGATCATTTTATGAATCCATGATCACACATTTAAACAAGAGTGTGCTATTCATTGCCATTGAATTTTTTTTTGCTTTTTAATTCTAATTCTTCAATTATGAGGTTGCAAGAGATTTTGACTACCTTGTTTATTCAACTATTTATACCATTTGACGATTTTATGGCCAGAACTACTGTATGTTTATATTTAACAATTTAATAATAATATTTATAACAGCTAGGTTAACGTAGTGTCATTTTACATGAAATATGATCTCACTTGTCATATATTTATTGCAGGTACATATAATCCAGATATGTTCAAGCAAAGTTAGCATAGGCTTTTTTGATGAATGATTCTTGAGAAAGTTTTTCTTTCCAAGCTTTCAAGTTTGGTAAGGTTTCCAAATCAACACCATGATGATCAGCGATAGCAGCATGTGGATAAGCAATAATATCAGCAATTGTTAATTTATCACCAATAAAATAACCGGTACCATTTTTAGCTAAAAATTCTTCCAATTTGTTGTAATAGTTTTTTACAGATCCTTGTAATGCTTCAACAGCACCAACAACATCTTTATGGAACATTGAAAAGACGAAAATCTTATCTTGTGTAGCTGAAACACCGGTGGCATGGTAGTATAAGAATTGTTTCAATTTCCAATATAAATCAGAAGTTTCTGGGTAAGAAAGTTTTTGTTCTTTATCATATTTAGAAACCAAATATTCCAAAATATTTGCAGATTCAGCCAAATTTAAATCACCGTCTTTGATAGCTGGAGTGACTTCACATGGGTTGACAGATTTAAACTGTTCTTGGTGTTGTTCACCTTTTGTGATATCAACTTTGTGGATTTTATATTCAAGGTTCAAAGCTTCTAAAGCTGAAAGAACTTTGAAATTGTTTGGAGTTGGGAATGTGAAAACTTCGATGGCCATTGTGATTGATTAGTTGAATATGTATGGATGTATAATGTTTATATTCCCATCATGACACTCTTTTACAAAGGGAGAACATCCAGGGTATTTATATGTCACCTTCTCAACATTTTGGAATTTCTTCGAGAATCTGCTCAGATCCAAATCTCAAAAGATTTGATTTAGGCTAAATGAAAATCTTTCTGGTTAAAAGAATTTTCTCTTTCAGGCTAAATGAATTTTAATAGGGGCTTTGAAGTTCATTCTGCCGCGCACCGTGGACCAAAAAGCATCCAAACCTGAATATTCTGATCATTTCACCTTGAATTTTCACCTTGAAACAACCGATCAGTCCAATGAAAATCACCCAGAAGAGGTTTTATTTGGCTGATAAGTAATATTTGCTGTTTAAGATCATAATTTACAATGAATTTTGGAGTTCAAAAGTGCAGCTGTCAATGTAAGCTATTCCCTTGACATTAATTTGGTTCATTACGGCTAATATGCAGCATCCTGGCCAATTAAAACTTCATTTGTCAGATTAATTGAATACTCCATCATATTGTCTATCCCAACTAGAGTTAGAACAGTGAGTTCTGATGACAAACAGGGAGCTCAACAAAAGATTGTGCTGAACATAAATAGCGACTCCGGCTTAACTTTGAAGCAGTCCTATTAACTTTGAACATATCTAGTTGTAAGTTCATATTGATTCCTTTTGGTCGAGTACCTTGTCTCTTATCATGATGATGCGTCAATCCTAATTATACCAGATGGAAACATCTCAACTTTAATATTGAAGGCCAATTTTGATATTATAGCTGTTGAAGGTCACATACAGACTGACCATGATATGTAAGTTATGATCTATCATTTTCCATAGATAAGCTGCTTCACCATTCAATTAATCAGATTGATCACTTTGTAAGAACAAATTATAGACCTCCTTCATGTCTGGGGAGCTTTTCAGGCTGGGAGACTAGCAGTTGCAAACACGACTAGGTTAAGGCCGACCTCTTCTATCTTCTATCGATTACATGATTTATCCTCTCAGTAGATACCACAGACACCTCATAAGATTCGAATAATGTTGAAAAGAAGCCTTCAAAGGATAAATTTGTAATACACTTTGACACATTCTATTACTAAGCAACCACTATAAACTTACATAATTTCATCGTGGCTTCATCGATTTTTCTCGAACTTTGGACAAAATCACAGAAGAGAACAGATCCAAAATTTAAATTAAAGATCATTTAAACCATCAATACCTTATTCCATACTTCTTTACACTAATTTAATCTTTTAAAAACACAAAAATGGTCGTTCATAACCCTAACAACTGGCATTACGTTGAAAAAAACTGTATTGATTGGACCCGTCAATACTTTAAAGAAAAATTAGTTGATCTTGAAGCTGAATCTGATGACAAGTCTCAACATGCTAAGATCACAGGTGTTACTTCTGTTGAAGGTGATTCAATTGTTGCCCAAAAAAGAGGTAAAGTTATCAGTTTGTTTGATTTGAAACTAGCTCTTGCTTACTCTGGTAATGTTGGTGAAACATCAGTTAAAGGTTCTATCACCATTCCAGAAGTTGCTTATGATTCAGATGAAGATGATTATCAATTCGAAGTCTCTGTGTTTTCAGAAACAAGTGAGAACACTAAAATCAAAGAAGTCGTGAAGAAGAAATTGATCCCACAATTGAGAAAAGCTTTTGCTCAATATGGTAAAGATTTATTATCTACTCATGCTTCTGATATTCAATTACCAGCCGACCAAGTCAAATCAGAATTGACCAAGGCAAATCAACTCAAGAGTAGCTCATCTTCAACTTCAGTTGATAAAAAACAAACCGAAACATCAAACTCAACAACATCATCATCACAACCTACACCTACCCAATCTTCATCTAGTGTTCCAAAATACAATACCTCAACAGTACACTTAGAGCCTGTCTTCAATACTACAGCAGAACAATTATATGTTACATTTTTAGAGAAAAATAGAGTTGGTGCATGGACTAGAGCGAACCCAGGTTTCAATGGTGATTTCCTAAAAGTTGGTGATGAATTTACTTTGTTTGGTGGTAATGTTTCAGGAAAAGTTACCAAATTGGTCCCAAATGAAACAATCGAGCAACAGTGGAGACTAAACAGCTGGAAGGAAGGTCATTATGCCAATTTAACTATTGGTTTGCATCAAGGTGATTCTGAAACTAAATTAGATGTCTTGTTTAAAGGTATCCCTATTGGTGAAGAAGACCAAGTTAGAGGTAACTTTGAAAATTATTATGTTAGGGCCATCAAGATCACATTTGGATTTGGTGCAGTTCTCTAGTAAAAAGAAAATACATTCTCTGCTATTATTTTAAGTGTAGTTTATATTTCCGATGGCTGTGTCAGGTGACTGATTTTATACCGAGGTGCTGTTTAATCAAAATTCACATGTGAAAAAATAATTGCTTCAAAGACGAATGGCTGTAAACAAAGAAAAAAGTATTGAACGGGTTTGGCGTTGATTCAAGTGCTATTTCCAAAGGCCAAAAGAATCTAGAGGAACGCAACACCAATCCACAAAAAACAGTCAAGCTCGGTCACCAATCCGCTGAAACATTTGTCTACAATCAGCTTATCCTTATCACTCAATTCCTTAGATCCCCAGAGTCTTGATGAATCATCTCATATAACAAACAGAGAAGTCTCAACTGAAAAATACCAGTACCGTACTAGCCATCCAATCTTTTACACGATGAATCAGTCAGATATCAAACCCCCAACATCAGCACCTTCAACTCCTCCACTGTTCAGCATATCATCCCCAGATTTCAAAAACTTCAAATCTTGGGTGAAAACTTCACCATTCACTAATGATTTTGATCTTTCAAAGGATAAATTACAACTATCCGACATGGATTTTGAAGTTGCTTATGCTATGTTCACTGCTAAGACACCTCCTGCAACAGCTTCAGGCTCACAAACCCCAATCACAAACTATCAAAGTGAATTGTCAAATCAACTTCATGAACTTCATAATCAACGAGAATTTGGCTATAAAATCACAAGTCCTGGATTATCACATCTGTTACAAGCTGCATCTCCAAATTTTCCACCCACAGAGCTCGAAGGACTACCTTTGTTCTCAAACTATGATGAATTATTGTCTGTTAATGAAAGTCATGCAATTGAACAATTTCTGGATAGTATAATGGATGAACAAAATGTTTCAAAAAGTTCCAAGCAGGAACAATCAGAAAGTCTAAGGCCGGATCCAATGATTTCTGAAGAGCAACAATATTTCAAGCAAGAAGATGAGGTTTCATCAGAGGGAACTTCAAAAGCATTCATAGAATCGCCTGAAACGGCAACTGATATATCTATAACATTCAACAATACGAATATCAACCTTCCAAAAGACCCTAACATCTTCCCAAAAGAGCTGAACATATCTACAGACTCACCTATACCAACGAGATCGTCATCAAATACATCTTTTTCAGGGTCTGAAACTAGCAGGCCAACAAAGAAAAGAAAATTACTTACTGATGATGAAAAAAAATTCAATCATACCTCAAGTGAACAAAGAAGAAGAGGTATTATAAAAGATGCTTTTGATGATTTAGTCAAGCTATTACCCTTGTCTAATAAAAAACAACCAAAGTCACTAGTATTAGAAACAGCAGCACATGAAATTGAACGACTACTCAAAATAAATAACGAATTAAAACAACTTTTAGATAAGCACTAATAATATAAGGTGTAACATGATTGAAGCACCAAACCTACGGTATATCTGATTTTAAAACACAAATAATGAACATTGTCCTAATTTATGACATCCTATGTATATACGTAGTAGTAATTGAAATCAAATTACTTTTAAAGATATTAAAAATTGGTAATATTAGACCTCTGAAAAAGCCTAATTTAAACGAATGGAAAGATAAAATAAAAATAAGCAACTTCTTTTTAATGTAACTGATCCTAAATCTATAAGTTTAACTCACTCAAAATCTGTCCAGCTAATGCCTTGTACATCCATGTGTTACCCAACACCTTTTTAAAATGAACACCTGATAAACCAACCAATGGAACTTTAACAATATGAATTTCAAATTTCAAAGGAGTACGAGCTTTGGAAGCTTGTGAAGATGCATGTTGTTGTTGATGTTGTGACTTCTCTGTAATTGTAGCATTTGTGTCAGCGTTATCATTCAAAATAGCCTGACCAGATTGACCTCCACTTGTTGATGGTGTACGAGCCTTGTTTTGTTCAATTCTACTTGAGACCAACATATCACTACCACCTTCACCTGCATTTAATGAGTCTAATGAAGCAGATGAATCATAATCAGTATGGGAAGAGCTTGCCCCTTGGTTACTAGTGCCAGCACTTGGTGAAGCGGCCATTTGACTTGAATCATATCTGGTAGCAGCAACTGGAGTAGGTGGAATTGGAGGAGCAGATCCTCCATTTTTACGTCTATAACTGCCCAAAATACTACCACCAATAGAGAATTTTCTTCTATGACCACCCTTAGATGACGGAGTAGATAGCTGATCAAAAGTATCTTCACCTAATGAATTATTACCATCATTTGTAGCTTTACGCTCCAGACTATGAACCCTTGTTGTTTCTTGATTTTGATTTGCAGCTGAATCTCCACTTGATGATTTCGAGGATTTCAAACTTTGATCTTCTTGAGCAAAATCATCTGGTTTTGTAATTTGAACATCTGGGACTTGGGATGGTTGCTCAATTGAAGGTGTATGAACACAAATAAAACCACCACGAACTTCAGTAAATTTAACACCTAATTTGGTCAATACAGAAATAACGTTTGCACGAATAATTGGTAGGGGTTTCGTAGAAGTGGTTTGAACTGAGAAGAACCCTTTGAGGAACAATGATCTTGGATATTCAATTGATGGCATGGACCCTTCTGGTGCTCTAGCAGCTTCGGCTAATATTTGAGTTTCACTCAATTCAGTATTTGCCAATTCACCCAATCTAGCACCGCCTTGTTGATTACTCGAGGTGTTTGAAGTGACCAATGAAGGTTTATCTGTTGGTGAATAGTCATCCAAAGTAACGTCATCAAAGAATGCATCATCATTCAAATCAGTAGGCAATGGTGGTAAAGCATTTGAGTTTTCACTTCCTTCATTTGGTACAAAACCTGAAGGGTGACGGCGAGCAGCATGTCCGACAGATTTAGCTCTAGCAGATGGATGAAATTTCTTAGTAGCAGTAGCAGGAAGTTTGGAGGCATTAGCACCTGGAGCAACCTTAGCATCACCAGAAGACAAAGCCTCAGCAGGACCTGCATAAGCAGAAACAGTTCTATTATGGCTTTTATTAACCTTGTTAGTTGGAGCACTCAAGCTATTATCAGTAACTGTTGGTTTTTCTGGTGTATCAAATGGTGATTTCTTTGTTAATTTCAAACTACCAACACGACGAACTAAAGCATCTTGTTGAGGTGACATCAAATGTTTTGGATCATACTTCACGCCATTATCTGTCGTTTCCATTGGCACAGCACCATTATTGCCGTTGTGATTGAATCCAGTTGAATGATACAATGGGTCTTCCACACTTGAAACAGCTGGTGTTGGTTCATGAGAAGGAGGTGGTCTTCTTTGAGAATGTGCCCTTCTTTGACTGAATTTTCTCAATATTGAGTTGAAACCCTTACTGTGCTCATCTGTGACTGCAGCACTCTTTGGATGCTTTTGCTGTTGAGTCAATAAGAAATCATCATTACCTGTGGCATGTGATGTTGATGGAAGTTGTTGTTGTCTATCAGGAAATCCTGGAGGTGATGTAGCTCTTGGTGATGTATGTGCAGCTTCAGGGAATGAAATAACAGGTGGTTGAGATGGCGTTTCAATTTTGACTTTTGGTTTTTCTTGAGTTGGAGCTCCGGCAGCTGTATCAGGTGTGATTTCCTTTGGTTGTTCTTTTACAGCTTGTGGAACATCCACAATTGATTGTTTAGCCTTCTTACGTTTCAACATCTCTTCAACCAAGTAATAAATAGAGACTAATGGATGAAAACCAGTTGTTGGATCAATCTGGCCACCATGAACATTTTCTTCTGCTCTTTGATTTCTATACCAATTTTCAGATGCATCTTGATATAACTTGGAAGAAACAACCTGAGTAATATCATTGCGAATCTGGTCTTCATTTTGACCAAACTCCAAATTAGCCATTTCTGTTATTGTGGCTTGATCTAATGGTAAGGTCAAAGGGATTCTGTGTGGAACAAATGAGGTTGGAGGGCCTTCATAACCTCTGGTCATCCAAGGATGTGACATAACTTCTGCGAGACCAGCTCTCTTATTAGGATTGACCACCAACATTCTTGAAAGTAATGAGACAACCTCATTAGAAAGAAAATCAGGATAATCAACTTTACCCTTCTTGATTTTTTCATGTAGAACAGAAACATCTTGATCATCAAAAGGAACTTTACCACATACCAGAACATACAAAACAACACCAAAAGACCAAACATCAACTTCAGGTCCAATATAAGGATGTGCAGATAATAGCTCAGGGGCAGCAAAGTATAAAGAACCACAATATGTTTTCAACAATGCATCATTGGAATAAAAATTTGACAACCCAAAATCGATGATCTTGATATCACCAGTATTAGAAATCATAATATTTTCAATCTTTAAATCTCTGTGAACAACGTTGTTTCTGTGCAAGTAATCCAACGCGGATGCAATACCTCTAACAAACTTTCTAGCATGACGTTCTTTCAAAGAACCATGACTCACAATATAATCTAACATTTGACCACCAGACACATATTCAAACAACATATAATAATGATTTGACATTGTTATGACTTCAAATAACCGACAAATGAAAGGATGATATAGTATTTTACCCAAAGAAGCTTCTCTTATTGTTCTTTTATCTCTTGCAATTTCTTTTTCGTACTCCTTTTGTCTCTTTTCTAATTCTTTCTGATCGACTGGCGGAGGATCATTTGCATGATTTCTAGCATACAGTCTAGCAGCTCTAGGAATAATTTTAATTGCACAAATTTCATTTGTTCTTCTGTGTCTTGCCAATTTAACTTTTCCCATAGAACCTGCACCGATAGTTTTCATGAAATCCCATTCGCCAATTGAACGACGATGAAATTGAGTTTGCTGCGGTTTCTTAGAATGATGGGTTGAAGAGGTTCTATGTGGTTGATCATTGGATCTTGAAGATGGTTTGGTTTGCTGCTGCTGTTGCTGTTGCAATTGTTGTTGATCAACGCTAACAGGAGGCAATAATCTTGTTGGTGTAGTGTTCCCTGAAGCTTGTCTATCAGTAGCTCTAGTGTCTAGTGGTGGAAGTTGAGTATGATTATTTGGACTTGGTTGGTATTGGGCTGATGAGTTTTTGCTATTTAACGGTGAAGCAGCAAATGGAACCTTTGTATTATCATTGTTCAAAGAAGTAGGTCCAGAAGGCGTTGAATAACCAGAAGGTCTATGAGTTGAGCTTGACCTCTGAGGAGTGGTACCTGCTTGCAGGATTTGATGTCCACTAGTATTTCTTAACATTCTTGGAGTAGCAGGAACAGCAGTTGGTGGTTTCTTAATACCTGATGAAGTTGGTGTGCCTGCAGTACTGGGCCTTACCTTCGGTAACAGATTTGACTTTTGATAGTTTGGATTTATATGATAATCTGGATCCTGATCTGACATATGTGGGCAATGGTTGATTCAATGATGATAATGTAGGTGTGTCTATTTTGAAATTCTTTCTAGTTGACGCCCTGGGAGATGGTTTCTGTGTTTGTGTAACGTTGGCAAGCCTTGTTCAAAAATAGTAGATGAAGATGAAGATGACAGGACGCGATGCGATGACTTTCACAGAATCTGAGCCTTTATGGAGTTCTAAATATCTTTATTTGTGGTCCTTGTGAAAAATTGGTGTCCAAACCTCCCTTTGTTGTTGATAAGTAACCGATGTGTCTTTATTGCTAAACCAAGGGCAGTAGCTTTTGACCCTTTTCTAGATTGATCAGTGACACGATGTTGTAAAAAAAAAACGTTGTCAAAGTCAACGAAATGCTATTCTATTGGTGGGGCCTTAGATGCTACCAATTGATATCACAGCCAGGTCTTTTGGAAAGTAGCGTTAACAAAAGTGTTTAGTTCTGATGAATGTAGACCTTTCACCGTTGATAGGTGTTAAAGCATTTCGTTTTTTTTTGATGATTCAAGGGCGAAATTCGCGAACCAGTGCTAGGCGGGGCGTGCCTGGGCTCCAGGCGAAGTTTACCCTACGCACTAGCCTACACAATTCCAATCGTCTGCCTAAAACAAATGAACAGCCAGCCTTGAGTCCACCAGATGAAATTCAGACGTAATTTTGACAGCATCAAATTCCATCAACAGAAGAGATCTCGATTTATCTACTGATGTGAGATAGCTAGGGGAAAACATTGAGTCTACATAGGTAAGTTACAGGTATTAACTTTGACAAAAGCTTTATATTGAATCAAACATTGGAGTATCAGTCGTCAAAGCTTGATGTATTTTGATTCTTAACATGATTTTTCTACAAGCACGTCATACGTACAAATGACACCTACTGCAACAAATGATGTGTATCAGAACAAATACCATTACTGATACACAATACCCTTAGACGGTCAGTCATTATTGGAGCATAATTCCAGTCCAACTCAAGTAAAATCGATTACATGAGTTGTACTAACTGTACTTCTACCGGGAGTTTACCCTATGTATTTCGCGAATGCCTGTTGCACAATTTGTATTTTGTTCCAGGACGCGTTCGCGACGTGGTGAAGTTTTCTTGATCAATTTGTTTTTTTGGATTTTGATCGTGTCGAGACTTTCAGTAATTAGAAAAGCCTGAACATAACAACATCGTGTTTACCACATCAATCAGATTTGAAAAAGATTGGGATAAACATCATCCTTAAACCAATATTCAGGCACTGTATTCCCAATAGTTGGTAGAAGAAAATTATTCAATAATGTCAAGATCCAAAACAGGGACTCCTGTCAGCGAGCATCATCCAGCTAATAAGCTCACATACATTGAAGAAGATATCAAATTGCAACTTCAAAAAACTCCTTTTCAACTAATTATCGAGGCGGAAAACTACCAACAACAGTTGAATGATTTGAGAAACGATTGGAAGTATGCGGTTGTTTTACAATGGTTGTATCTATTTCGTGGTGCAATCAGATTGAGTGGTGAACCATTCTCTGTTGATATCTTGGAGGAAGAATTGGTTGGTCTCACTGAGCCTGCTTTATTGAACAAAATCACGACAAACTTGGTTTCCGTCTTGCTTGGTGCTAAAGTAACCGTGGAAGATTTCAGTTTCAAAGCAAGATACGTCCTTGGTGATACTACAACTGTTTTAGGAACTGAAGATGATCCAGTGGATTTTGATTCATTGTCACTAGTTGATAAATTTGATGTGTTGTACCAATTAGTTTTTCAATTACAATATACCGACAATTTTAGAAAGCAAGTTGAGAAATATGAAAAGGAAAATGAATTAAGAATGGAACCAATCTTTGATGATGGTGAAGGAAGTTACTTCTTGTTGAGTGACAATAGAATTTATTCGAGAAAAATTAACAAATTTCCAAAGTTAGCCATACCGAGAAAGTTCAAGTATGCTAAAAAAATTGATCCAGAAGTTGAATTTGCTGATATTGAACCAAATTTTGAGTGGGAATGTGTTGCAAATGGTATTTATCAAATTCACGACTTCTTGGTTTCAATTGCAAAAGATAAAAAAATGAAACCATTGTTCAATAACATCAAGCAACATATCAATATAATTGCAGAAGATGATCTAAATAGAAGAAAGAAGGTTATCAAAAGAAAAAGAGAACAACAATTGCATGAAATGGTTAACAACAGAAAACGTTCTTCAAGATTACAAGAGAGAGAGGAGCAAATGCGTATTGAAAAGGAAAAGCAAGAAGCCGAGGAAGAGCTCAGAAGACAAGAACAGGCTCGTATCAAAGCGGCAAGAAAGTTAAAATCTAAAGAAAACCTAATTAAAAGAGAATTTGAAGAAAGATTACGCCACTCAAGTTCCAGTAGAAGAACAACAGTCTTTGATTCTGGCTACACACCAGGTGTTCCACCTAAAGAGTTAGAGTTGGGTGATGATAATTGGTTATTCGAATGTTATTGTGGTGTTAGAGAGTTGAACTATGACGATGGTGGTAAATTGATTTCATGTGAAAGATGCTTAAGATGGCAACACTTGAAATGTCAAGATCGTGTTGTTCAACAGGAATTAATCAGAAACTCAAATGAAGTTTTCATTTGTAATTGGTGTAAACAAGATTTAGAATTAGAAGTGGAGAAGAAATTGGAAGACGAAAAAATACAAAGAGAGAAGGAGCTAGAGGAAAAACAAAGACAAAGAGAGTTATCGAAGCAAAGAGAATTAGAAGAAAAGGCTAGATTAGAGGAAGAGGAAAGAATAAGAAAAGAAGAATTAGAGAAAGAAAGGGAGAGAAGAACTTTGGAAAGGGAAAGAATGAGGGAGACCAGTATTAACCTCACACCTGGTCCTATTGAATCTCCTCAACCGATTCAGCCAGTTCAGTCTGCACAACCTGCACAACAACCAGTGGACCACCAATACCCACAACAACTACCATCTATGGGCTCGTTCCATGTCTACAACCAACAGACTCCAGTTTTCAATAACTCATTTCAATCGAATGGGCACCCTACAAATGGGGGAATACAACAACCAAACTTACAGCCTCAACCAAATCAATTTAGTGCCCCACTACAAGGACAACAAACTGCTTTCGAGCAACAATCACCTGCCCCAATTCCTCAGCTACAAGCAAGACCATCAATTCCAATTCCTCAACCTGTTTCACCAGCTAAGCAATCACCTATCGGTCAACAACAACAAAATGGTAATGGTTCTCCTTCAAAACAAAATGAGTCGCCATCTCGCTCTTTCTCTATTCAAAACATTCTGGGTTGATCTTATAATTTATTTACTTTTAATCAATTTAATCAATAAAAGAAGTATCTGCGTGTACTCATTTTTCTTTGGTAGATTTTCAAGGCGTGAATTTCCGATTCTTATAAATCTGTCATTTCAACAGGTCAAAACAATCTTGAAACGATTTTTGAAACGTAAACAAGTACCATAAATCTTTCTGAAGGAGCACTGAATCATATCCAACCATAATCTGTTTCATTCATGATTGGGTATCGTTGAATTGGTCCTCCAGGTGGCTACACTCAATAATCTGTGGGCCTACAGCTGCTACTCTACTCTTGAAACTCTTTTGATTTTCATGATCTGTGATAAAATGTGACATCTCACCTAAAACCAATATAAAACTTTCCTAAAGCTATCAAAGTATGAAGGTTTCACATACTAAACATCATGTTAAAAACTACATCAAGTTAGAATCAAAACAATTTTATTGAAAGCAAAGTTCAAAAAAGTTTTTTTAAATGTGCTTTTCCCTTGATGATACTTGTCAGTTTTTCTTATATCAACATCCATTTGTTTGATTCTAGTAAACAAAGAGCATTTGAAAATCTCTTCAAATATTTATACAAGTACATCTGATTCAGCCTTTCCTAGCTCTTCAACCATGAACCAATTAGAAGATGAGATTATTGAAGCATTAACGAAATTTGTTCAAGAAGATGGGAGTTTTGCCTTATTACTAAGTTTCCCCAATGGTTTAGTTAAGTTCCACTCCTCAGATGACTTTAAATCTTATATTGATCTATTCACTCAGGATCAGACAGATCCAGCAAACTCTCAATCACCTGCTTCATTAAACAATAACGTTGATACTCCTAAACAAGAAACACAAGAAAAAGGACTAATTCCACTGGTTAGGGCTTTAGAATCACCAACTTTTGAGCTACACTTATCTTCCAAGAGAGAAGTCATGAACCATCTAAGAGCATGTTTTCGTGAAATGCAGCAATTGGCTTGTAAGACAATAGCAAAGGCCTGGATCAAAGCCATTGAGCCTAAGAAACAAACCAACTTTCCATATAATAGAGGAAATGATTCAAGACCACCATGGTGGCCTTCTCATATTCGTCATTGTGAGCCTGATCATTTGGTTAAGAGTGAAAGAATTGATTTATTGGTTGGTATTGCACGTCATGAAGATACTGATGTTAGAAAATTAAGAGATGCTACAAATAGGGTTCCAAGTTTGGATAAGCATAGGTTGAAAGTTTTAGATGAGGTTTATTTATTAGTTAAGACAGAAAAGGAGGAAGGGGAAGGAACTTTACTTGTTAGTGATTTTGAGAATGCGACAAGACTCTCAACAAAGAAAAGAAAACCAGTGAGAGCTGTCCCATTTAGAAGAAGATACGTAAAGAAAGTTGAGCTTGAAGATGATGATTATGACCAAGCTGATGAAACTAATGATCAAGTTGAGGAACAAGAAAAGCAAGAAAGTCAAATCGCAGAAGATACCACACTTACAGAAGATGAAGTTCCAGTAGAGGAGGAAGTTCAAAAAGAGAATGATATAGCTGGTGTGTCTTCAGTGACTGATCCACCACCTAGCAGAATCTTTGATGCTCCACCAAGTGCGTTTGAGAATCCAGGAGCGTCAAGCTCGCTTCCAGATGAAGCATCAACTACACCTCCACCTCCAAAGAGATATACATTCAGAGATTTTGTCAAGACTACACCAATAGGAACAACAACTACAGAAGATGGTCGTGTTTTTCCAAATGCTTTCAATTTACAAATGTTTTCAGCAAGTAGAGTTGATCCTGAAGTCTTGGAACAATCTTCAAGATATCCTGCTTATGCGCAATCTCCTCAGCAAGATGAAGATGAATTCGAACAAGATGACCATATAGTAAGTGAAGTTTTGAAAATCAGGGATTATAACATCAAACATGGTTCTAACTCCAAAAGTGGTGCTAAAAGAAGAAGATACGGAGAGAGAGTACATACGACATCATTGGGTCCGCCATTATTCTCCATGAGAACTAATGAGCACATTTATTCTGGTGAAAAGATACCTGTTTTCAAGGATGATGGTAATGATAATAATAATTGAAATGTGATGGATTACTTGGATATGTGTGTTTGTTTGGATTTTGCTTTTTTTTTGGCTTTATATGTTTGACTTATTGGATAAGTTTTGTTTTGTATACCCTCTCAGTTTTTGCTTCTTAATAGATTTTTATTCATAATCTACCATGTAAGACTTGACACTTGAAAAATTAAATGGTTTCTCCTTTTTCAAGCTGAAATAACCACGTTCACCTTCTTTATTCACTGTGAAACTTGTTATCCAATTCAATCTATGAAATTTCCTATACCCCAAGCTAGAAATTTGTAGCTCTTCCACAAATTTGTATAATTCAGTTTTAGATTCAATAATCACTTGACCATCCATTTCTAAATAAAATCTCGCAATAGTTGCACTTTTCCATGAACCAACATTTTCTTTTTTAAATTGTGGTATAATAACATTTGGATCATCAGTTGTAGTCAATTTTAAAACAGTTCCATCAGGATGGAATCTTAGATATCTAAAATAAGTCACCAGCTTAACAGGAGCATAGAAACTATAATCCGCAGCACCTTCAGAAATATATGAAACCTTCGATATATAAGTCCCGTGATATTTCAAAAAAGGACGATCATTTAGCATTGAAGGCCAGTTGAAATCCCAATTTTTTACCATTTCTTCTTGATCTTTTGTAATGTTATTTAGTTGAATTGAACTTGATGAGTAAACTTGATGTGGATAAACTAATTTTGATATAGTTCTAAATGCTACTGTACCAAAACATAATTTGCCTAATCTATGACATGTTGATGCTAATTTGAAATTTGAATGAGGATCAATTCTTATCAATATTGTGATGATTTCCAGCAATATATCATCAGTTAATATATTTAACAAATAACAGGGCTCTATTAATTCTTCCTCTTCTCTATCTCCTTTATTATCATCATCAGCAACCTCATCATTGGTATTCTCAGATAATTTCAACGCAGCTAAACTATCTAACAACGGAGCTGGAGTTTCAGCTATTCTGTCATTCAATTCCTTTTGATATTCATCATGTAGTTTCTTTCTATAAAGTTTTTCCACATCTTTATGAATCTTTAAAGCACTTGAATAATATCGTATTGCGTCACCCAGACTCCCTAATGATTCTTTTGCAACTCCTTTTTCATAAACCTCTAAAGCGCGCTGTTCAGTTGATATTTCCATTGTGTTTATTGGTTCTATATAAGTGGATAATTCATGAATGATATGATTCAACTGGCTTTCAGTAGTTTAATGGTTTGAAAGTGTAAAAGATTGTATAGTAATCGAGTTTTTGATTATTAAGATGAAATCTGACAATTCTATACGTGTCAGTAATGAGCTATACTTTTTTGCTCGCTCATTTCATTCATAGGTCAATCAATTATACACCCAGTAGTACTTTCAACCCAATTAAAAACTTTGAACTATATTACTGCCCACCATACATGATGTTCATTAGAGGCTATAAAAGCATCTCTAAATTAGGGTCTTTAAGCTCCACTAAACAATTGCTTACAAGTAAGAACGGTGCACTAAAACCATTCAGCAATTTCAAAGCTATTGGGACAAGCTACAGGTTATCATCTTCTTCAGCTAGCTCAATTTCTTCAAATCCCTTCAACAATAATGAGAAAAGGTACATTTCTCAATCACATCTAAAATCAGAGCAAGACGGAACACCTCCAAAACTTCATTATGACTTTTATCTCAAGAGTAATGGGAAACCAACTCTTGGAGGTTTAACTGACTTCATCCATAAACGAATGGAAAAAATATTCTATGGTGATACATCAAGTGCAATTTTCAGCCATGAAAATCTTGAGGCCAAAATCTTCATGTGTTTACCTTCCCCTTGCAATCATGAATGGAAGAACTTTCCATATTACAATTCAACTAATCAACTGCTGTCAATTGAGGAAGGTGTAAAATTCAAATGGATAGAAGAACTTGACTTGCATGGTTTTGATGATAGCGAGATAGATGATGGTATTGTGAAAGAATACAATGAATTATCAAAAAAACTTGCTGATGCTACTTCAGCTGATGAAATTTATAATTTTTTACGTCTTTCCCGGCGTGATATAAATTGTTCAGGGATAGCTCAACCAGAAACAGAACGTGATATTCAATATATTTACCTGAGCTATGTGCTTAGTCCAGTTCTTGAAGCAATAAATATTGTTTATGGTTCAAACATCTGTGTATCGCTGGAAAGATATTTAGCACCGGGAAGGAAAGTGCCTGATATCATCATCGAAGACCAAAAAAGCCGAATATTTTGCATTACAGAAATTGTAAAAGCTCTTCCAAAAGCTCAAATAATCAAAAGTATGAAAAGTGAAGATATTTTGAATATTCAAGGAGTTAAAAAAACCATTCATTCCATGGTTGCCAGTAACTCCAATTTAGGATTTTTAACTTCATTTGGAACAACTTTCATTTTTGAGATTGACTGGGACAAAAGTCGCTCTGATAGTAAGGATACTTGCAAAGTGTCTCTCAAGATGAAAGTTCTAGATCATAATGATCCATATCATACCGTGAAGGCAACGATGATTTACTTTTTGTCAAAACTTTTAATCCACACAACTAAAGAAGAAAAACACAAGATGGTAAAGAAAAATTTAGAATCAAGATCAAAGTTTATTGTAAAATGCAAAACAACTCAACAAAAGCAGTGCCAATTGCTAAGAGAACGTTTTTTGATTCAGTATCAAAATGATCATAAAGATTTAGACAATTCAATGATTGATGTCAGGCTTGATTCCCAAGTAGAGAAAAGCATCCAGCAAGAGCTCACAAATATGAATAAGAATGTGAAATACATAAAGTTGAAAAAGAGAAATTTCTCAACAAATGGTCGATTTGATAATGGTAATGATGGTGATGATGAAGTTTTATTAAAATGGTATGAGCCAATCACCTTTACATTAAATGATGATCCAATTGTCAATCAAGAGATTTTGGAGGATTTGTATCTTTTCGAAGTCAAACAGATGGAAAAGCTGGAAGCAAAAGAGAAAAGAATCAATGTGGATCTGTCTCAGCTCAGGCTATGGAATACAGGGTTTATTCGAATCAGAGATGAGAATTCAAACTTGGTTGGAATTGGTAATTACATAGCCATGGAAATCAAGAAACCCAAAGGAAATAAGGAATTTACCAAAAGCTTACCCATCTTGACCAAGTCGGATATTTTGCGTGAAGCAATGAATAGACTGAAGTCTCTTCATCAATATGGTATTGGTCTTGGTGACTTTGCTGGGTATCACGAAAGCGTTATTGTTAATGATGGTGAAGTCTCAATTTTAGCCACACGTAATTTTGGAGATGGTGTTCCAGATTCGATCAAAAAATCGGACACAGAGGATCTGAGTGAGATAATTGCCAGTGGGAAAATAATTGAGCTGTGATGTATGGCCTTCATTTTTGTAAGAGGATTGTTTAAGTTTTTTGACTATTAATATATTGTAGTAGTTTGTCGTGTGTATTGATCCAATTGGTATCCTTTTCTTTTTGAACAATGAAATCGAAAAAAGTGACACTTTCAGAAAAAGGCGGGTCCTTCATGAGGTGTGACAGCGATAATGAAATCATCTGTGATTTTGCTACAGTATAGTATTTTCTTGTTTTTGTTGTTGTTGAACGTTAGCAACTCGTGATCCAATTCCGCTTGCTACCTGATCTGATGGTTGCAAAATTGCAAAGTCATCGATATGATAATGAACATGGTCTACAGCTTGATCAAGTTAATAAAAGCTATTAGCCATTAAAATATTATCTAGATCCCTATATAGTTTATAAAGCAAATAAAAAGCAGCCTCCGTCCAAAAAAAAAATCCATAAAAAACGCCTTGTAAAATTAAATAAGTAAAGCACACCATCCGTTATAATTAAAAAAAAATCCCATTAAAATCATTTAGAATATTATAGTCATTAAAAAATACCACATCTTTCTTCTTTTCCCTTCTGTACCTCATTTCAACTACGAGGTAACCATCTTTCATTACACCAACCTTTAACAGTAAATTGGGTATCATTATTCAGCACTCCACAAGGTCTTAACACCTTCATCTTGGAGATTTCTTCATCCTCTAATTTAATCCAAGGTTTAACATTACCTTTTTTTCTAATCAAAGAAACAAATTCTTCTTGGTCATCATTATTTTCATCAACAGATTCACCAGCATAAACGTATTCAGGGTTTGAAGATAGATTTAAATCTTCCCTTGGTGGTAAAACAACACATTGCCATAATCTTTGACGAACCATCATTGCAAAATCACGATTTGGATCTAATGAATTACTTATTGGTGATGATGATTGTTGTCTTTGTAAATAATCTTCTTCATCCAAGTGTGTAACTTCTGGTAATATACCCTTTTTACGTGAATTTGATTCATATGAATATAGTCTTAGGAATTGTGAATTGATTCTTGGTTCACGGTTTCTTAAAATAGATATAGATGGGGTTGAAGTTGATGATGATGATGTTGGTAATGATGAATTTTTTGAAGTAACTTTAAAAGTTTGTAATTCAGTATCTCTATGCTTCTGGATGATGTTTTTTGGTAATTTATCATCAGTTAAGCGAGGTTGAATGTCAAATAGTATATCATTGTTATGTCTTGTTGAATTTGCAAATGATTTGATTGAAGATGACAAATTTGAAACAAAGCTTGCCTTTTTAGTAATGTGTTTTTGTTGTTGAACAGGTTCAATTGGAGATAAAGGTTGGAAAGTATAATTGTTATCATAGTCATCATTGAAACTAGTGTCATTTTGACAAAAGAAGTTTTCATCTATGTCATCCCAAGTGTTGAATGAATCTAAAGGATGAGAATCACAAGACTCGTAACTTGAACTTGTTGATATTAGGGAAGGTACTGAATTTGATGAAACATTTGATTTGATAGAGCCATTTGAGAACTTCTTTTGATCAATTATGGATTGTAATGAAGGTGTTGTTGGGTATCCAGGCTGACTTAGATTACTATTGCTTTGTTTGGCGTTGTTGTTCTTGTTGTCACCATCGTTATCTAGCCTTAGCCTTGAAGGCTTTGGAATGGGTATGGCGCTTGATGGCCATACGTGAGGAGACATGAGTGTAGTTGCCATGATGTTTGTAGCATTAACCAGTTCAACAGTACGGTGCCACTGATACTAGCTCAAGATGTGGTGAAGTGGATAGTTTTATAGATATCTCTTGATGGTGATGACTCTCTGGAAAGGGAAAGCACCGAATTAGTCAAGGGCTCTGTCGGTGCACTCCCAGGCTTATGTACATTTCCAACAGAGACGGAATTTATTTCCTCCCAACGGCTCCTCTGCGTTGGAGAACTGAGCCAGAACTGAGCCAGACTCAGCAACTACACACCCTAGCAATTGGACATACAAGGCCCTTGCTATACGCTATTAATACCATACCACATACACTACCTATCTTATATTCAAATCCTCTGTTCAAAGGGTTAAATTCCATACAAGTTATGGATTAATTCACTAGTTTCACAATTTCAAATGCCTAAAGCGGGAGTTCAGGCGCTTAAGCTCAAACGACTCCAAAAAGAAATTTGGAACATTCAATATGTGTGGTGTCTGGGTGTGCCTCACTTCCCTTCGTGCCCTTACTGGGATTTTCTCTTCTAGAAGGAGGACTTGCCCAAACTCTAGGCAGAGCAACGTCAGGCTGCCCTTGAAACCTCTAGGCCAGAACCTGCCTACACTGGGGGAGCCATAGCCGGATGTTCTACCCGTCCAGTAAATTATTTTGGTGAGTTTCAAATTCCTTTCACTTCATAGGCTGAACCACACTACTGTTGCAACATAGCTTTAGATGTTCAGATGTTCGACAATTTTACTAATGAACACGTAGGACATAGAACATAGAATATTCTGCTTAACTTTGCCTTCCCTTTCACTGGTGCCATATGGACTTTAAGTCGGCTGAAGAAAGCTTGAACCAGAGCCCAAAAGCTAGGTAAAGTACCTTGTCGTTTGCCGTAACGTGGCACCAAAAAAAAAATCTTTGTAAAATGACGCTTCTAGTTCATATGGGAATCTGACATACTTTTACCTAACCAAGCTCTCTTTTGCTTCATCAACAATAGCACCAATGAAACGGTAGCAAATTTCTATCACGGTAACGTTCTCGTCAACCTTGTAACTTCCTATACTGGTAAATTCCGTGGAACGACGGTCTCACTAAAAAAAATCTGGCAGATTTGAAAAACTGGGCTCAATATACTTCACACGATTCTTCAACTTTAACCATAATTTATCGATACATCTATTAATAGCCAATGAGATGATGAGTTCACTCTTCAATTTACCTCTACCTCAATCCTGAAACCATACCTAAAGCCTATCAAGAATATTCATGGTTCATGAAGATAGGTCTTTATGGCCAGCTTTAGCGATCAGAAATTCTCCGCGAATATACATGAAAAATAAAACGTCTCGACTTTGAGACGCGTCATAGATATTCAAATACAGAAAATAGCACTGGGGTTCGAAGGTATTGTAAGATTGGTCAAAGTATAATGGTTTCGTATCTTCTTGATGGTTAATGGTTAAAGTGTTCATCAAGAAATTAGACCTTGGAAAGGCAATTGTCTCTTTATTCAGTGAGGCGGACTTCAGCGTGAAGTTGATTATGAGTGCGCCTATCACTCAAGAAACAAAACGTGTTCGCGAAATATAAACTACGACCTCAAAACTCGATGTATTAACGTTATCGTCTCTCATTTAATTGAAACCCTTCAAGAATTCAAGCTTCCTGAACATTAACCAATCCCATATGACTTTTGATGTTGAAATTGAATGGATTCATAACAGTGAACTCAAAGAAATATAACAAAGTCAAGAAAACACAATCCATCCACAAAATTTGAACAATAGTTAACTTATCATGAGCCCAAGTTAGTCCAAATATTAAAATCCCAATTGGAATTCTAAGTGAGATTCTTCCAAATCTTGGAACGTAATGGTCTGAATGGTCATCTCTATCTTGATCCAATGAGGCTAAACAAGTTAATGAAACTAATGCAACCAAAATACCAGTATGGAAAAAGAACAAGACACCCAATTCTTCCTCTCCCTCGATATAATCATTCTTTATCTTGGATAAATCGACACCAGCGTCACCAACAATTAATAAACTCGCAATCAAGGGGAAGTGTAAATAGATATATAAGATAGCGGTGAAAGCACTTCTTCTTAGAGCATGGGTAGCTTTTAAGCAACCATCCTTGTGTAGATAAATCCCTAAGAAGATGAATGCATCAATCAACAATGCGAACCCTTTAGCTAATTTACCGTTCCACCCAAATTTTAATGGACTATCAGCAACTAAGCTGTATAAAAATTCACCAATTGCAATAATAACAAAACCTTGAAATCTTTCATCTTCATGCTCAATGTTTAAAGCTGTTGAATACTCCAATCCTAGTTTCTTCTTGGTCCATGGATGAACACTCAAACAAAATATAGTCTGTTCTAAAATAAACATCAAAGCTGCAAAGATACATCTCCCCCAATTTGTCTTGATCAACAAGATGAAAAACCAACAAGAGCTTGTAATGACCAATGACGTCCCATATAGCCTCATCTGTGTTCTATGTTCATGAATATATAAAGAATAAAACCATAACAATCCACTTAGTGTAACTCTTGCCAAAAAATAAGTAACAACACAAGTCAAAATTGCAGTATTATCTTCCAAATCATCAACAAATTCACAATTGTTATCATATGTAATCAGCAATGCCAATATCCAAAGAACATAACCACGCTGGATAATATCATCATTGAAGTAATAATTCATAAAATCTTTTAAATCACTCCATATAGTCCATGGTGGTATGAAAACCAACAAAAATTTCAAGAATGAAACACCATCAGCACCACTAACAGCATTAGAAGCCAAGTTTGCAGCAATCCCAACATAAACTAAATCTAAAAACAATTCCAATTTACCAGATGTTCTCTCATGTCTAGTTCGATATAAAGTTCCCTTATGGAAATAATTCAATGCATAAGGTCTTGTAAACCATGGTGAATGAGGTGGTGGTTCAATATAACTTATATTAATCTCTCCATATTTTTTGAAAAAAGCTTCTAATTCAGGATCAACTTCTTCAGATAATGGAGCTTGTTGAGCTCTTGACTCTTGTGTTTCTTCATCATAAGTTGTTCTCTCTTCCCTTGTTGAATATCCTGTTGACGTTGCTTGATCATCTGTGTTTGTACTGTTTCTTGGACTCATGTTTGAATCTGAGAATCTTCGTTCTGTGATTTCAGAAGAAGGTTTGGTATTCTTTGGTGGCATTATGGCCTAGTTATATTAAAATAATTATTGTCATTGTGTTTGAAATGTTGTTTTTATTCTTTCCAGTGATGCTGATATTGCTGCAGGGAATGAAATTTGAGTTTGCCAAAGCTTGTTCGGTCGGATTTAACAATACGTGAGTAACTGATTACTCAAATTAGTTACACATTACATAAATCACTAAAAGACCCTACAATTGATTTATCCTAATATCCCAATCTATTAAATTATATCCTATTCTATAAAAACCTCTATACCTCTTGACTCTTTGATGCTCTAATGTTGTGAAACTCAAATGAATTCATGACTAGAAATTCGTAAATGAACAACAACATCAAGAATAAACAATCCAACCACATGATAGATTTGATTGTTAAAAGTTGATCAGCCCAAGTTATACCCAACATTATCAATCCAGTAGGTATTCTACCACTTATCCTTATAATTCTATTAACTTTATGATGACCAGGTTCATCTAAATCCTTATCCAATAATGACAACAAAGTCAATGAACCAAGTGCTGCTAAAATTCCAGCATGGAAATATATCAAAACACCTCTTTTACTTGGATCTAGATAATCAGTAGTTATTTCAGAAGCTAATGTAATACCCGCATTACCTGAAAGGAGCATACTAGCAATCAAAACAATATGAGTGTAAATATAAAGTGCACCTGTTGTAGCATTTCTTCTTAAAGCATGAACAGCAGTGATACATCCGTCTTTATTTGAATACAATCCTAAAAACACAAAAGCATCAAACAATAATGAAAATCCCTTATGTAATTTAGGGTTCCAGCCCGTGCTTAGGGGATTTTTCATCACTGTGGTCGTCAAGAATTGCCCAATTGCAATAATGTAAAAACCTTGATATCTTGCGTCTTCATGTTCTATATTCAATGCAGAAGTGTATTCCAATCCTAATTTTTTGATAAACCAAGGATTCACATTTAACAAAAACTGACTATGTTCTAAAATGTACATCAGTCCAGCAAAGATACATTTCCCTTTTGTATCGTTGATCAAAAATATAAAGAACCAACATGAACTAGTGATTGCTAATGATAAACAATATAATCTCATTTGTATTCTATGTTGTTTGATATAAAATGAATAGAATAACAACATTATGGCTAATGTGAATCTTGACAAGAAATAAGCAACAACTGCCGTCCTTAAAGCTTTTGTACTTGTATCTGCAAATTCACAGTTATTATCATAAACTATCAATAACAACTCAGTCCAACACACGTAAATTTTCTGTATCAAATCATCATTATAATAGTAATTCATAAAATCTTTCAAATCAGACCAAATCGTAATAGCAGGCATGTATAACAAGACAAATTTCAAAAAACTAGCTCCTGTTGGTTCTTTCAATGCAGTTGATGCTAAAGTTGATGCAATACCAACATAAACCAAATCTAAAAACAATTCTAATTTACCAGCACTCCTTTGTAAACCTCTAGTTCTAAACAGCTTACCCTTATGGAAATAATTCAACGCATAAGGTTTACTAAACCATGGTGATTGGACAGGAGGATCAATAAATTCAACATCAACATCACCATATTTCTTATAAAATGCACGTAAAGAAGGGTCTAATTTATCTTTATCCACAAGACTAACAGGTTTTTTCTGTGTAAGTGAGCTTTGAATGGATGAATTTTCTTGCAGACTAGTTGCAAATTGTTCCTCTGATTGCATTATTTGGCTATTATAGCCCAAAAATCAAGCTATTCTACTCTGCAACTCGGGAATCTCAAATCATTTTATACGCTACTTCATTGAGATCTCAGTTTTTTTTTTCATCTCTTATTCTTGCTTGCACACAGGATCTAAAGCAAGGTACCGTATCACAGTATCTGAGATCAGAATGTATTAGCCTGGTTAAAGCGCACTGATTCTTATGTCAACGGTTTTTGGGACCAAAATAACAAAAAGAAAAAGTTATGTCACCATGGATTTTTTTTTTTGTGCATTGTTAGCAAATCACGAAAAGTTGAAGATGGAAACAAAAATAGTAAACAAGGCTGCCAGCAAAAGTAACCTTTGCACACAGTAATGAATAGATCTGATTTACCAGGTATTGTTGACACGGAGAATCCATGAGGACCCATCAACAAGGCGATTTACTAGGTAGTTGTGGTGTTGATAAATTCTTCAGCTTATATGTGTTTCTCGAGCTGAGGCGCAACAATAAGATCTAGAAAAAACACAGAGATAATTGGGATTCTAGGTCCTCAGATCCCACAGCAATACATGATGAACCACATGTACGCTTCATACGAGAATGATACTCTATACCAGATAAGCATATAAAAGCAAAACTGTTCATATATTTCAACTATTAGCCATACTTTGCACTTTAATTATCCAGTAAAAAAAAGAACCGTAAGAAATGGGAATAAAAATATAACAAAACGTTAACCGGGAGACCAGCTCAATGAGCAGTGAAACCACCTGAAGCATACAAAGTTTGACCAGTCAACCATTTACCTTCAGTAGCCAAAAATCTAATGATTGGGACAATATCTTCAACTTTAGTTAATCTGTTTTCTAAAGCTTGAGTCTTGAAGAAGGCAACACTTTCATCGGTTTCTTGACCATACAAGAATGGAGTATCCATAGGACCTGGAGCAACTGCATTGACACTAATGTTCTTGTCATGTAATTCTTTAGATGCAGCTTTAACAAAGTATTCAACTGGAGCTTTAGCACCTTGGTATAAACCATAGAATGGAGTATAAGCAGCTAATAAACTGGTAACTAAAAAGATGATTCTACCTTTTTCATTAACATATTGGTAAGCATATTTCAAGAAGAAAAATGAAGCCTTGGAGTTGATATCAAACATTTGATCATAGTCGGCTTCTGAAATTTCACCAATTGGTTTTTTCAAAACTTTACCAGCATTGTTGATTGCAATATCAGCACCACCAAATTTTGATTTAGTTTCTTCAAACAATTTTTTGGCATCTTTTTCAACAGCCAAGTTACCTTGAACCAAGATTGAATCAACACCATATTTTTCCTTGACTTCCTTAACTAAGGATTCACCATTGGATTTTTCAGAATCTGAATGATAATGGATAACCAAGTTTGCACCAAATTTAGCTAATTCACGGACAGTTTCAGCACCCAAGTTCTTGGTACCACCAGTGACGATGGCAGTTTGACCTTTTAATGAGATATCTAATGGAGCCATTGTAATTGTATTGATGTGTATTTTCTTATTGTTAATTGTATGATCAATTGAATTGATTGTAATGAACAATAGAATGGGTTTCCAGGATTTGAACAATTGGTTCTTGTTAGCTGTATTTATACATTTTCTCCAAGCTGTTAACCCTGGTTATATCGATTGCCATTTTGACGAAATTTAGCCTCAGTGTGTGTCAAATTTCATTTCGACAAGTGTGTTCAGCTACCGTTTTATGTTAATCCCCAGCCGGTCCCATAGTTAAGCTCTTGACAAAAACGTCAAGGGAGTTTGCGTTAAGGCCGTGAGCGCTCTGATTGGCTGAGAGCTAGCCCTGCCAAACAAGCCGTGTCAGCAGCCAGCCAAAGAAATGTAGCTTTTGACGGGAGATCTAACAATTACTGTAAGAGTAGATTCCTGATCAATACTAATAATTGAACGCTATAGCAAATGTAGCAAATCAAGTAAATGTATAATAATTGAATAATTGAATAAGTATATAGTATAAAATAGAATAAAAGTAAAAGTAATAATAAAGTATTGTTTTTGTAGCATGATTTAATAAAGTAACCCGGAGTAGATAATTGAAATAGATGGTACAAACCACAAACATCTGTTCCTTCTTGAAAGTTTTGCACTAATCTCATTTGAAATGATTCAACTGGATGGATTTGATTCTACTTGATCTAAAATTTCTTGAGATTTTGATTGAATAAATTGATTAGTTGGAGGTCAATGACAAATAGCAGCAACAATGGAATTTGATTCTTGTACATCTAGTATAGTTTC